GCTGGGGGCTGTCCCGCCACTGGGCACTCACCACCTGGGGGATCCGCTTGCAGATGGGGGGGTGCAGGGCGGTCAGCATGGCCAGGGTCCCTGAAGCTGCTCACCGCAGCTTCTCGTCCTCCTCCCCACTGTACAGGACCATCAGCTTCAGCCGGTCACTTCCCTCGGCCAGGAACAGCTCCTGCACCTGCAGCGGAAGAGGGGGGCAAGTGGGAGTGCAGGGGGCTGGGAGCCCAGCAGCCTACCCCGGCCCAGCCCTCACCTCCTTGCTCATGGCCATGTTGCACATGCACTCCGTGGCAGCCAGCCGGATTAGCTCGTGCTCCTCAAACATGTAGCCCTCGATCATGGGCACAGCCTTCTCCTTCAGGATCTTCTGCCTGCAGCAGGGCAGAAGAGTGTGAGCACTCCCCGCGCAAGGGCAGTGTGCCTCTGGGCCAGACAGGGACAGGCCCCCTCTCTCCCCCCAACCTGGTCCAGCTCCGCGCTGGCCCCACCAAGGGCAGGATGCCTCTGGGCCAGACAGGGACAGGCCCCCTCTCTCCCCCCAACCTGGTCCAGCTCCGCGCTGGCCCCACCACCCCTACCGCAGCCTCTCGCTGATGCCAGCCAGGTTGGTTAACGCCATCAGCCCCTCAAAGTTCTCCAGGCCTGTGCGCTGAAGGTGCAGAAGGCTTACCAAGGGCCGGACCACCTCGTAGATCTGTGGAGACAGCAGTGCAGGGCTCAAACCCTGAGCGAAGGAGGTGCAGGGAGCTTTGAGCCCAGCCTAAAGGCAGAGCTGCTCCCATGGTCAGGCCTAGGCCGTCAGGCCTTTGTGGGGAACACCAAGGGTCTTGCCACCTCCTGCTTCCCAGGGAAGGGCAAACCCATGCTGGCAGTTCCTGTGACGCAGATCCCACCTCGGATCACCAGTCCTGTGGCCTTTAGCTCCAGGGCTGCCGAGCCCTTTCCCAGTGAGCAAGGAGGAGTGGAAGCCCACCCTATCCCAGATGCTGCAC